GTCAAAGGTTACATGTGGATTTTTTGACTGCAGAAGAGATCACTGTCCCTAACCCCTGAGTTGTTCAGGGGTCAGCTGTACTTTATTCCTTCTACTGTGCCGCCCCTCTTTCTGGGGTTACCCAGGGAAGGGACACCCACTGAGGAGAGGGGGTGTGCATCTGCTCCTATGTATCAGCTTGCCCCATTCAGTGGACTGACCCTGACTCTGGGTGCTGTTGGCTTTCCTAAAGAAGTGAGTTGGTCTTTCAAGAAGCACCATACTTTGTTTTGGTCTAGCTGTCCGTGTGTGTGTGTGTCCTCCAGCAGGAAGAGCACATTTGATCTATATACTCTTAGCACCTCCTGTTTCCCTTGAGGCCCTGATCTGTGCTTTCTAATGTGTGGTCCTAGATGAGCATTGATGAACCTACCAGACCCTGGGGATGTGAAAGCATGATGGTTAAGGGTAGCCTGGCTCCGCCCTGTGCAGGTGATGTTGACTTGGGCAAGTTGCCTGACTTTAGCAAGCCTTGGTCTCCTTGATGATAAGAGGTAGACAGTAGAAGAGCCGGCCTACAGAGAGTTGTCGGGATACATGCAGGATGAGTACAGGGCTCAGCAGGAGGGGAGCCTTCATTGTTACTGTCACTTTGTTGCTGGTGGTAAACAGGTCCCTCATCCAACAAATGGTTGTTTATTTTTATTTAAAATTTTACTACCATTTGAGTGAAATTTTATAAAGCAGATTAGTTTTATGTTCGACAGTTCCTGTACACGTTTTGTTTTGTGATACTGGTTACATTCCCTGCAGTGTAATGTCTTACCTCCCGCTTCCTTCCATGTGGTTACCTTTTCTCTGCGTCCTCCTTGCCTATGCATTCCTGCCTCCTTCCCTCCCATCCCTAGTAACCAATAAAGATAATTTCCTTCCCTGTGTAAACCTTACCTTGACTTTCAACAAATATCTGTTGATCATACTGAACAAAATAAACATTTGTGCTATCGTGGACCTCATGTTCAGCGGGGAGAACAAGATACAAAGCAAATAAACAACTAAGAAAACAAGAAAATTTCAGAAGATAATGAACTCAGTATTCCAGTGCTGGGCTAGTAAATGGTTTAACAATCGACTCTCCAGGAATGGAAGCTCTGATTTGTAACCTCTGCCAATTTTTGTGGTGTAAATACTCCCAATTGGCCGATTTCTGTTTTCGCCAAAGTGACCAGCATGGTAGCTGTTGTTGTTGTTATGTGCCGTCGAGTCAAACCCGACTCATAGCGACCCCTCCTTGGGTTTCTGAGGCAGTATCACTACAGAAGTAGGATTGCCCAACCTTCCTTCTGAGGAGTGGCTGGTGGGTTTGAACCGCCAGCCGTCTGGTTAGCAGGCAAGTGTCTTAGCCACTATGCTACCAGAGCTCCTGATTCTTAATTTGCCCAAATTTTACACCTAGCTTTACGAGTCCCTAAGAACTGGTTCCAGCACACCACTGGGTGTATGTAGATAATGTGATGCGGTAAAGACCTAAGGAGCTGAGTGTTAAATGCAGACATCCAGTGGGAGGGTGATTCAGGCAGAGAAAACAGCTTGTGCAAAGGCTGAAAAGAGCTTGGTGTATTCAGGAGATAGGGTGGAGGGAGAGAAGGCAGAGGCCAAATTGTCAGAAGCTTTATAGACCATGGCACTGAGTATGAGTCTGATTCTGAGGCCACAGGAAGCCATCGGAGAGTTTTAAGCAGGAGTATCCAGATATGATTTGCATTTGTGAAAGATCATTGGGCTGCTTTGTGAAGAACCAGGAAGAACCCAGTTAGGGTGCACTGGTGCCCCGCTCCCAAGTCAGGAGGATGCTGGTTTGAATAGGGTACCAGCAGTGGAAGGCAGAGAAGTAGTTGGACTCTGACAGAACTCTCTGGACAGGACAAGGAAAATATTTGATCCCCAGGTGTCCCTGGCTTCTTACCACGCACACACCCAGGATGCGATTTCTGCTTCTCTAGCCTCAGAAGGAGGAAGTAGCCTTTGATCACCGGGACTTGCTATCTGTCCTGACTACTTTTCTTCTCAATATAGTGTTTACCATCTCCTGATAAATCCAGGAGAGGAGGTGAGGGAATATCTTTATCTTGAGTCCCAATGCAAAGGAAAAACAAAAACAAAATCTCTTCTTAACATTGTCCTTCTCCCTTTTGACAATTATAACCAAGACAATATCCTGTTCTTTAATTTGCATGGGGTAGAAAGATAAGTTTCTGACTTAGATTTCTATTTTTGCCCCAGGCTGCCTCTTGGGGTGTGCATCAGACAGATAGGCAAATATTGTGTGTGTCAGAGTGGCAGATGATGAAAAGAGCTGTCACCTGTCTCTGGGTCACCGCCAGCCTGTCTCTTTGACTAGTTTGTAGAAGGGAACACAAGAACTTCTCCACTTCCTCGATTGCATCATCCAAGATAACTTTCTGTCCAGATGGAAATCTTCTGGGTCTGGGCTGTCGGTTACGGTGGCCACTAGCCACGTGTGACCGAGGAGCACTGTAAACGTGGCTAGTACAACTGAAGAACAGAACTTTACTTTTATTTAACTTAAATTGCAATACTCATATGTGGCTACCATATTGAACCACACAATTCTAGACCCACATATAAATTCATTGTCGTGAAGCCTTTCTTTGCTTTTTTATTATTAATTCTTTTTTTTTTTTTTTTTTTTTACAATTGACTGGAGATCCTGTTGAAGTTTTGTAGAACTTCAGAAAAGGGCAGGGTCTTAGTGAGTTATCACTTGTCCCAGCCACCTCACCCCCCACTTGCAGAGAAAGGAATCAAGGCACAGAAGGATTAAATGATTTGCCTAATGGTTCTCATCTGGGGAGTGGCAAGATGGGGCCCCATCTCCAAACTCTCAGCTAACTGCACTTTTTTCTTCTGTTATTATTTTGTTAACCAAGGGTAAATTTCAATGTTTTCCAGGAATACATTCTTTCTATACAAAATTACGACATTGTGAATAAAGCTGAAGTCCCCTTTGACAGCTTTCTCAGTTTTGATATCCACTTCCATCCCCAGAGGTGATCAAGGTGTGGTCTGTTCGGGCACACCCTTCTACACCTTTCTCTATTGCACTGACATATATATAAATGGATGGATAGAACACATTTAGCATTTCTCTCTAAGTTATATCATACTGTATGTATATTTTTCCATAAATTGCTTATCTCTTTAAGAAGCACATTCTAGATTTTTCTGGGTCATTTCACAGACCTCTACCTTACTTTTAAAAAATACTTCATAGTATTTCATACCTTAGACTTGTCCTCGTAGTCACAATCTATTGATATAACTAATTGTCCATTATTATATTGTTTCATTAAACATTTTTGTATGCGTCTCCTGTATGCCCAGTATTTCTCTAGGGTCCATACTGAGAAGTATAATTACTAAGTATATGCATTTTTAATTTAATTAACTAGCCCAGTATGCTTTATTTTATTATTTTTTTTTTTGAATTGAATTTTTTTGTCTTTATTAAGACCAATTAAGTGATTTTGATCTAACATGATAGATTAGTCAGGTTTACTATCAAGACCCTCTACAACAAAGACCCCAAAAAACAAGTTAAACTAATATAGATGACAATCCTGGAACACTGAACCTCAAGGGAAAAGATAAAATTGACCAAATACCAATTAGGAGAAGAAGCCCAGTGTGCTTTAAAATGGTTATACCAGTTATATTCCTCCTACCAGCTCTATGAGGGTGCCTGTTTCACCCCAAAAACAACCACCACCCCCCACTGCCTTCGAGTCAGTTCTGACACATAGTGACCCTACAAATGAGTGAAAATAGTATCTCATGCTTGTTTAATTTGCATTTTCCTGATCATAAGTCAAATGAAACATTTATTGTAGGCTCCCGACCATTTGTTTTTCTGTGAATTGCCTGTTTAAATCTCCCCTCCCTTTTTATTTTTGGTTGGTTTCCTTAATTCATTCAATAAATAGGTACTAGAATACCAACTAGGAGCTCTGGTAGCATAGTGGCTAAGACACTTGCCTGCTAACCAGACGGACTCGACGGCACATAACAACAACAACAACAGAATACTGACTACATGCTAAGCACTATTCTATGGCAAATTAAATAGGTAAACATCCTTTCTCTCAAGGGGTGACATTCTAGTTGTGGGAAAAAGACCTAGACAAAAAGGATGAAGAAAGTATATAGTATGTTAGATGGTGATAAGAAGGAAAAGGATATGCAGAATGTCATTGGGAGTAGGATTCAAGTTTAAATTGGCAATTAAGGGATCTTGTCTTTTGCATATCTCTAGGGAAGTTGATTGCCCAATCTTCCTTCCAAGGAGTGGCTGGTGGGTTTGAACCGCCAGCCTTCTGGTTAGCAGTCAAATGCCTTAGGCACTGCACCACCAGAGCTCCCTCTTTATTTGTAGGCATTCATTATATGTTCTTTGTACTAAGCCTTTGTCTATTACATGCTACGCATATTTTCTTCCAGTCTTTAATTTGATTTTGGTTATAGTGTTTTTGTAATACTCTTTTTTTTTTTAAATTTATAAAGTCAAAACTTGTTCATTGGAATATTGTCATAAAAAGAGTGAAAGGTCTTTCCTCTGATCTTTGGAAGCAGCCATTGTCAAGAGCTCGGTGCTTGTTTTTGCAGATTGTTTTCTGTCCCTAAAACTATGCAACACTCCACTACCACCCACTGCCAATTAAATACAGTTTCTGGCTGTTTTTCCACAAAAGCAATTCTGTTCTCTAGTGTTATTTCTGCTCGTTTTTCCCTTTTAGAGGAGCTGCTGTTATTTATCTGAGCAGTCCCTGTGGATGGACATCAGGGTTATTTCTGGGGCTACCATATTCCCTTCTAGATACAGCAGCAATTCTACATTCTTCCTGATGTCCATGAGCATCTCTGAGCTTTTTTGTTTGTTGGACTGGAGCCACACCCCCTGCATATTACAGTGCTGTAATAATTTGATTTGTTTTCTCCCTTAGCTCCATGGCTACATGGAAAACAAGCCCCTGGGCCTTCAGATCTTCATTGGGACAGCCGATGAGCGGATCCTCAAGCCTCACGCCTTCTACCAGGTGCACCGGATCACAGGGAAAACGGTCACCACCACCAGTTATGAGAAGATCGTGGGCAACACCAAAGTCTTGGAGATCCCTCTGGAGCCAAAAACCAACATGAGGGCAACGTAAGGGCTGGGGGCTGAGGGTTGTTAGTCTTTTGGGGGAAGAGAGTGAGGGCCAAGAGGCAAGCACTGATAGTGGTTTCTGATCTGTAATTGACCCATGATGATTTCTGTTTTAAAAGCACTGCATGTAAATAGAAGAGCCCTGATTGTGCAATGGTCAAACATTCAGCTGCTAAGGGAAAGGTTGGGGATTCAAACCCACCCAGCGACTCTGAAGGAGAAAGACCTGGAGCAACCCGATAAAGCAGTTCTACTCTGTCACATAAGGTCACTGTGAATCAAAATTGAATGGAAGGCACTTAACAACAACGCCATATGTAAAAATATTTCAATAAATACATTCAGAGAAAGACTAATGATTCCTTGGATTATATTGCTTGGGACGAGGCTAAATTTATGAAAATTTACAAAATTGTGTTGACTTAAAATTATTAAATAGCAGTGCAGATAAGTCAAAACTCACAGGATGTATATGACTAAAATTTGGGATACACTGTACAAATGTATTTAAAAAAATCAAAACCAAACTCATTGCCATCGAGTCAGTATTTTGGCTAAATGAGGAAGGTGGTTTTGTGGGGTGATCTTCCACTAAGATAAACTCAAAAAACTCACTGCGTCAAGTCGATTCGACTCATAGTGACCCCTCCTTGAGTTTCTGAGGTGGTATCACTACAGAAGTAGATTGACCAACCTTCCTTCTGAGGAGTGGCTGGTGGGTTTGAACCTCCAGCTTTCTGGTTAGCACTCAAATGCCTTAGGCACTATGCCACCACAGCTATTTGGGTTTAAAAACTTTTTATTAGAAAACATTTTCAAATATACAGAAAAACTTCCAGAATCGTACAAAGAACTATGCCATCCATTAAGATTTACTTAATGAACTTGCTTAATAAATCCTTAACAAATAAATTTACTTAATAAAGTGATTATTTTTCACATGTGCTCTGCCCCTCCCTTTTTCACTTTCTTACCATTTTTTCCTGAATTATGGTGAGCCATGGGACATTTAATACCCACCTACATTTTCTGCCTCTGGGATTTAGTGGGAAGCTTTTATCTCACTTTTAGTGCATGCTGCTATCTGCTGAGGGTGTGTATAACTGCATGAAACTGAAGAAATGGGTCTCATCTCATTAACCCTAGCACCAGAGACCTCTTGGGACATATGTGTCCCACTAATTGTATCAAAATCCTTATTACCTCAAAAACATTTTTTTTTTTCATTTCATTCAAAATGCCTTCCATTACTGAAAGCACGTAGTTTCAACAGAAAATTCAAAGCAGAAAAGAACTTGATCTGAAAAGGGTTAAGAATCACTTGCAGGTATCCTGCTCTTTTATTTTTAAATACTTTAGTTTGTGTTTCTTAAGAACAAGGAAATTCTCACAGAAGTGCAGTACAGTTATCAAATTCTCCATGTTTAATGATACCCTTTTCTATTGAGTGATCCATATTCAGTTTTTGCCAGTTGCCTTTTTGAGTTTTGAGATACTTTTAAGGGTAGAAAAGTTGGCATGAAAAATCTCCCTAGAGATGAAATTTTCATTAGAGAATCTCACTAATAAATTTGTGTTTTTTCCCCGATTCTGGAGTAAATTCCTGGCTGAGACTTTTACTGATGTCTTAGAATTTACCCACCCCCAAGGGTGGCTGTAGAAGTATTTTGGCTAAATGAGGAAGGTGGTTTTGTGGGGTGATCTTTCACTAAGATAAACTCAAAAAACTCACTGCTGTCAAGTCGATTCGATTCACAGCAACCCCTCCTCGGGTTTCCGAGGTGGTATCTCTATGGGAGTAGATTGTCCGGTCTTCCTTCCGAGGAGTGGCTGGTGGGTTTGAACCGCCAGCCTTCTGGTTAGCAGTCAAGTGCCTTAGGCTCCCTTCACTAAGACAGCCAGTTCTAAATGGAATTCTCTACCTCCTGGCAGCATCGACTGTGCGGGGATCCTGAAGCTGAGGAACGCTGACATTGAACTGAGGAAAGGAGAGACTGACATTGGGAGAAAGAACACGCGGGTGCGGCTCGTTTTCCGGGTGCACATCCCAGAGTCCAGCGGGAGGATCGTTTCCTTGCAGACCGCGTCCAACCCCATCGAATGCTGTAAGTTGAATTTCCAGGGAAGGCCTTTCTCAGAAAGTATATTGTATATGACTTTCTACTCTGGGCAGTGCACCCTTGGTAATGTTGGACTGGAGCCCCTAGGGTGGCCATCAAGAATATGGAGGACCCACAAGGAGAAATAGTTGGCCCAGGTTGACCAAAGGACACATGATGGTGCATATTTAAAAGTTTTCACTCTATTTCTATTTACTTGGGGAGAGTTTTGTGGCTTCACAGGAAATTAAAAAATAATATGGCTAATGAGGAGCCCAAGGTTTTGTTTGGAAGATTCAGAGTGTGTAAATGCTGTTCTCCTGCAGCTGGAGTGAACTCATTGTACGTTGTCTTCGTTGATTCTTTTCTTTCTCTTCAAAAACAGTAACAGTACTATCATAGCGGTGCTTGTTTATTGAATGTTGACTCTGCTAGTTACTGTGCCAAGCCCCACAACGTGATATCTCATGGAATCCTTGCAGCAGTCCCCAGCAGTACCTAGTGCCCTTATCCCCACTTTACAGAAGAGAAGGTAGAGATGTGACAGGCTGAGTCACCTGTCTACACACAGGAAAGGCGGCCAGGCTGGGATCTGAACCTGAGTTTTCTCACCCTGAGGTCTTGTTCCACTGCCACCCTCAGTTGAACCCAGCGTGTGTTCTGAGAATCAGCTTGGTGTCTAGTGCTGGGCGCAGGGATCCACAAGTGAGTCTAGGTATTTTCCTGTCCGCAGGGAGCTTACAGTCTCCTGGGAATGACGACTTGCAAACAAATGGGTGCAAAGAAGCAGAGGGTTTTCTGAATCCAGGCTGAAGTTGCCAGGTTTTGCCATTGAGCTGTCATTTGGAAAGGCTCAAAGCAGAAAGCTGGCTCAGTTCTGCCAGGTTTCAAAAGAAGTAGCAGCTTTGAGCTCAGTCCTTAGGTACTTTTTAGAGCACTTTATTAATTTTTTGCAGTCAGGCATGACAAAGTTTATTATGTGTTCGTTTTTGAAAGTTTAGAAACTATAAAGCAAGCATAAAGAAGAAATGAGTATATATAGTTCCAGAAACAAATGGTATACTTTTTTAGTGTTTTTCCTAAGAATAATTTTGTTTTATGTTGTTGCAGTCATGTTCCACATTCAGTGATAAGTTATAGGATGATTTTTCCTCTATCCTTGAAACTAGGATCACAGACACAGTTGTCTTCAGAGGGTCAGGGTGGTTGTGGAAATGAGTGATGTGGGTTGAGTAGTAGACAGTACGGAATGGTGGAGACTATGGACTGGGATAGCCCATTCTCCATTTCATTGTGGGAACCTAGGCCCAGAGAGGCCACATCTTTTGAGTTTTTAAAAGATAAACCAAACATCACCTGACTTTTTTTTTTAATAGCAACAAATTTAAGTTTTTAAAAACGCTTTGTGGGTCAGACCAAATCTGCCAGTGGCTTCAGTTAATCCATGATTGCCTTCACGAGATGGCATTGTACAGAGGGAGGCATGAATTCTTAAGCAGAAGAAGTTGAGGAAGCCTGGCCCTTAGGATTAGAAGTGGGCACGGAGAGGGGGTGGACCTCCTTTGGAAGTAACTGCACTTTGGTCTTAGCTGCTCTCTGGAAAGGGACAAGGAGCACTCTGGGTTCTGGGAGCCTTGCAAATCAAGATGCTGATCCCAATGAATCTGATGGCAAGTTTGTACTATCTGCTATTAGGAGAGAGAGACCCAAATGCTGGCTAGCACAGGAAAACACGTTGAAAAATATCATTGCTGAGACACTGGAATTCCCCTATTCTGCCTACCCTACAGACCCCACCCCTGACCACAAATGCTGGTCATGAGGGCTGCCCACCCGTCTTGGCTTTGAACATCTCAAGATGGTTTTGGAGGGAAACTCAGGCTCTTCCTCAGTGCTTTGGGGAAATTTGAGCAGACAAGGTCTCCCTTTCTGGCAAATTACTTTCTAGGTTAGGGCTGTGGTTTGCAGCACGGTGGGGAACAGGAGCTCTAAGGAGGGAGCAAACACAGCAGCCCATGTGTCTCTCCACCTTTGGGTTCCTCAAATCAACTTACCTTATGTCAGTCTGAAACTTTGAGGATCATGATTGAACCACACGCAAGATCTTCAAGGTGTTATAAAGTTGTTTGAACCTTAAAAATAGGGCTGGTGTTTCTTCTTTTCCTTTAAAAAAACCTTTGGCCAACGTTCATGGTAAAGTGATTCACCCGTTTTTACTCAGTAGGTACCAGACCTAGAGTTTCCCACTTTGTAGTTCTGGGAAATACCTTCTTCTTTTGGTTTCTTACAATGCCATGTTGGGCTACCAATTGGTTACTCTCTCTCTCACCCAGAATCTTCTGTCATTTTTCTTTCTTTCTTTCTAGACCATTGGCTGGTTGTTCAATCATTATTTAATGACTAATTGACTTACTGAATAACCCTTGGGGAGATATTCAATAAATATTTATTGACTGATTGACTTAGGTGTCATCCTAGGGAGATTAAGAATTTACTAATTATACACAAATATTTATTGATACAGTATGTATATAATAAATATTTATTGAGCAATGACTTCCTGTGTACCCCATGGGAGGATGGGTTGCTAAAAAAAACTACTTAGGCTGGTACTTATTTGCAAGGCTAACTTATTTACCTGGGAGGTGCCTTTCATGTACCATGTTAGGGAATCAAGGAAGAGTTCTCAGTTTCTAGTAGAAAAACCCTGAACAGACTAACAGAGGCCACATTTTGGAAAGTGGACTGATTTGATAGAAGCACACATTCCTTCTATTAATTACATGCCGGCTTGCCAGAGGTCAGACCTCACCGTTGCACATAATGGCACCCTTCCTGTACGTTTCTACTTTTCAATGCCACTAAGTCTTCCACTTTGCCAAGGTACTGCTGTGCTTCCTCCACTGTGCCTTCCCTCATTCTCAGCAGTGACTGTTTAGATCTTTGCCAGTCTTCCAACCTCTGGTTGCTGCCTCCACCCTCTTCCCACTCCAGGCAGATAACTGTGCCCCCACTTTCCTGAGAACATGGAAGAGGCCAGAAGGGAACACCCTCCTCTGCCCAATGACTCACTACACCTCTTCAGCTGGATTTCTTGACTTCCTTCTTCCATAGGCTCCTTAGTTCCCTAGTGTACAAGGATCTTTCTCCAACTTCTTAGCCCTTTGCCAGCATGGTCACCTCTACCCAGAACATTGATCCTCACTCCTGGCCACACAGTCAAATCACCCAGGGAGTTTTCTTCTTTTGAAAATACTGATGCCAGGGCCTCCCCACCCAGAGACACTGATCTTGGTTCAGTGCAGCATAGGGGGTGGGGTGGGCATAGGAACTTTTCAGATGTCGCCCATGATCCTGATGCAGGACCCACCTACCTCAAGCCCCATGCTCCAGGCACTTAGTCAACTCCTTATCCACGGCCTCTCCTGGAGGAAGCCTGCCTTAGTCCCGCAGGATAGATGACCCCCTCTGTCCTCCGACAACCAATTTACTCAATCGTCTCCCTCACATAAGGGCAGAGACCAAGAATCACTAGAGTGTTGAAAAAATGACAGAGTCAAAGCAAACATCTCTGCACTGCCCAGCCGGGGACAGAGGCGGCAGTGGCACAGAAGGATGTCTGCAGACTGACCGCTGCAGCGAGAGCCTTCCGGAACCTCTCCAGCTGGAACTCCTGCAGCTGGGCCGTGGGTGGGCCACGGGTTCCTCCTCGTCCTGCAAAGAGCCTCTCAGCCATGGCATTCTAGAAACCACCTAACGCCATCATACACCAAGCCCTCCCTGCCCACGCAGAGAATAGAATGTAAATTCATTTTGCTCATTTTGCCAAGGAGGGTGGGGGCCCTTAGGCGTGGGCTAGAAAATGGATTCTTCCACGCAGTCTGGTCTGGTCTGTCTGTCTCTCTCTCGTATATAAAGTAGAGGCTCAGTGAAAGAGAGAAAGACCCTCAATAAGATGGATTGACACCATGGCTACAATGAGCTCAAGCACAGTGACAGTGGTGAGGACAGTCCAGGACCAGGCAGGTGTTGGTTCTGTTGTCCGTAGGGTCCCTGTGAGCTGGGACTGGCTTGATGGCACCTACAACAACAACAACACACATACTCAGGAAGCTATAACTAAGATAGGTTAAATCGCACAGGTTGTCAGTGTTCAGTGACTTTTGACGATTGTACGCACTCATGTAACCACCACTCAAAACAAGCTGTGGAACATTGCCTTCACCCCTGAAAGTTCTCTCAGGCCTCCTGCAGTCAAAACCTTCTTCCCAGCCCACACACAGAGGCAACACTGTTCTAATTTCTGTCACTGCACTTTAGTTTTCTCCCATTCTAGAACTTCATACAAGGGAATTATACAGAATGTACCCTTTTGTCCGGTGGTTTTTATTCAGCATGATGTTTTTGAGGTCCTTCACTGTTGTTGCGTGAGTTGGTGGTTTATTCCTTTTCATAGTTGAGTAATAGTCAAGGGTGTGAATATGTCACAAATTGTTTGTGTATCATTAAGAGGCTTTGGAGTTGTTTCCCGTTTTGGGGTGTTACAGCTACGGCTGCTATAAACGTTGGTGTTCAAGTCTTCTTGTGGACAAAGGCTTCCATTTCTCCTGGGTAAATACCTGGGAGTGGATCGTAGGGTGAGTGTGTGTTTCAGTTTACAAGAAACTTGCAGGCAGTTCTCCACAGTGGCTGTATCATTTCACATGCCCTGTATGAGTGTTTGAGAGTTTCAGTTGTTCTAGATGCTTACCAGTGTTTGGCATAGTCAGTCTTTTCAGTTGTAGCCATTCCAGTGAGTGTAAAATGGTACCTCATGTGGTTTTAATGTACGGTTCCCTAAGGGTGCTACTGCACCCTTATCTGTGCCCTTGTCCGCCATCTTTGTGTCTTCTTCGGGGACACGTGTGTTCAGACGTTTTCCCTTCTCTTTACTGGATTACTCATACCTCTGTTGTTGATAGGCAGCAGTTCTTTCTATGTTCAGGATATATTCTAGTCCTTTGTTA